TGGGCGTCGGCGTTGGTGGCGGCGGGATGACGAGATCGCTGTGTTGGCGAGAGCTGAGTCCCAGGCCCAGGATCGGCTCGTCGATGAACCCGATTGGCGGCGGGGAAATGTGTTCGTCGGTCGGGTCGAGTGGCTGCGGTGGCGATGACAATGGTGGCGCCACGGGTTGCGAGCTTGTCCGCCGGGCACTGCTGGCCCGTCTGGACTCGGCCCGGGCGCTTGGGAAGTCGATGAGGGCCGTGTTCTGCTCCTGGGCTTCCGGTGCTGCAAAACCGTTTAAAATTAAATAACATAATTTCACCTCACGAAAACGAGCCATTTTTTTGGGGAACATCATGCAAAATACACAGACAGACACTCACACACGCAGCCTCTCTCTTCTCTAATCCAACAAGCTGGGGGTGCCCAGCCACACCTGGGCATTGGACAGATTTTAAATGTTAAAATTTTGATCAGATCACACATGCAAGAGAGCATGCCCAGTTGTGTGGCCCAGTCACATCTCTGTGCATGAAGTTAAAAAAAGAATGATACTAAAGCTGGTTACTTGTTAAAGGACCACCGGTAATTTTGTAATTGTGCTCAATGCGCCAGTTGTGGCCCGGTGGGCCACAACTGGCACATGAGCAGGGGGATTTGGGTGCCCAGCCACTGAATGATACTAAAGCTGGTTACTTGTTAAAGGACCACCGGTAATTTTGTAATTGTGCTCAATGCGCCAGTTGTGGCCCGGTGGGCCACAACTGGCACATGAGCAGGGGGATTTGGGTGCCCAGCCACACCTGGACATTGGACAAATTTTAGCTTGGAAAACATTGATGTATCACAGAAATTAACATGTGGAAGAGGTTGTGTCCAGGTGTAACTGTTTATCATGATAAAAATTATGCAGAGAACTTTAAAAAAAATCATGATTAAAGTTGATTAACTGGTGAAGGACCACCAGTCTGGCACATAAGCAGGGAATTTTATTACTTGTTACAATCACAACTTAATTTTAATGCATTATGTAAAAAATTTAAAATCACACTTTCATACTGAGGTCATACTATTTTTATTTTAATGGTCCATAGTTTAATTTTATCACCTTTAGTTAATTCAATCCCCAAACTTCTGCCTTTCATCACTGCACAGGCCACATTCCAAAATTTCAAAATCTTTCATATTGAGGTAATACTATTTTTATTTTAATGGTCCATAGTTTAATTTTATCACCTTTAGTTAATTCAATCCCCAAACTTCTGCCTTTCATCACTGCACAGGCCACATTCCAAAATTTCAAAAATACTGCTCATGAATCAAATTTAATTAGTGAATAAATATTTGTGTATGCAAAAATTTGAACATAATTCCCTGGTTACATTTTTGCTCCTGATTTTTCAATTCAGTTTTCAAGAATGTATATTTTTGGCACAGGTTCACTTGTCTGCTAACTGTTTTTTATTTTCCTGTTCTGCCATTTCAAAAATTTCAGTTCAGTTAGTTTTGGTCTTCTTAAATAATTAATGGAAAGATGTTATATTTACATTCATGAAAAATCCAGGTTCCCACTGGAGTTTCAGTTTCTGTTTGATTTATATTTATTCAGTGTTTACATTTATGATCATAACTCTGTCAATGTTCATTATTTTTTCAAGTTTCAAAAAGACAGTGTACTCTGAATCCAAAACTTTAGAAAAAATGAAGTTTGGTGCAACAGAATATTTTTAATATGAGGCAGGAAAACAGGCCAAAATGCTCTTTAGACTGCAAAAGATACCCCCACCCATTGTCTGGGGAAAATAATAATAAAATAGGGGAAGGACAAAAAACTGGAGAAATTTTCCAAAAATATGCATAATAATCAACATGGAAGAAAAGCCTAAAAAATAATACAAATAAAAAATAAAAATCAGGATTTTTATGATGGAGCATTAAAAAAAGAGGTGAGCAAAATTTCAACCCACAACCTTTATGGAGCACCCCACTCCCAGTATCCCCCCGTTTTTTTTTTCAACTCCTGCTGCAGCCCAGTCCTTTCTCTGTGGGCTCCCAGACATCACTGATGCTCTGGGGAGGCAGAGAGAGGGAGAGTTAGGGGGCGGGACTCCCGAGAGTCTGGGAGGGGGGTGCTGCGCGCCTGTGCGTTTTGGCGGGAAAGTGGGAAGCATGCAAAAATTTCGAAAAAAGTTTCGAATTTTTCATCATAATTCCCTCAATTTTGAATATTTTTCTATAAAAAAAATATGAAAATTTAGAAAACTTCAGGGCGCATATTATGTACAAAAATTAAAAAATTTGGCCCAATGACAAATTTACAATCAATTTTTGAAGTCAAAAGCGCGTTTTCTGGGAATGGAACACTGGTCTCTTGGAGGCGGGGCAGGGGAAATTAAAAAAACGGTGGGTACACACTTTCCTATGGACTTAAGTAACTTTATTAGTAAAGATTGGATTAACTGCATTGACCATAAGTTTAATCCAAGACTCTAATGGACATAAATTTGATTTCATTTCATGCTACGTCAACTCATGTAAACAAATCATGAAAATGTTTGCAAGCCAAAATTGAATACAAAAGGCTTGAAATTAATAGGATTTTCAATAATACCTAAACTTTCCCTTGCTGTGTCATTGCTGGGGTGACACATTGTTGAGACCACTATTCCAAGTCTAAAACCAAAAAATACTGATTTGGATTAAATTTGAATGGCCACCAAACAAAGAGGAAGCATAGAAAAACATAGATCAGTAATTCTGAAATTTCTTGATGACATTTTAAATTTAATTTGAAAATTGGTATGATCTGCTCAGTCACTTTTTTTTTAAAGAAATTGTCCATCTGAAAAAATTGGAAGATTACATGCATTTAAAAGGGCCTTAATGTTGCAAGTTCATGTATTGAATAGTATGTTATCTTCCTACACCATTCTTCTGCATGTACTGTAATTCCTTCAGCAAGCATGCGCAGTTCATGAAGTTACTCATCTATTGCGTTGAGGGACGGAGTGGAAGGGAGTAGCCCTCTAGAGGGGCTATCTGAAACATCTGCAAAGGGTACATAAGTGGGGAAGATGCACAATAAATGGGAATTTCTGTAGAAAGAAGTGTTCCAATTCAGAGGTTTCCAACCAATTTGATATGTGACCACACTTGTATGAACTTTTGTCTGAATAATCTTTAAAAATAATTATAAAGCTCTTATAACCTTTGTTTACAGAATTGTGCATTCTGTGGAATTAAATGGCTGAACTGTGACAAGGCAAGCATGCATGTAACTGATCTTATGAAACATGATGACACAAGTCCATTGAGGAATACTTATTGAATTTATTGAGCTATGCAAGAATATGATTCTCGCAAAATCCGGTGGGCTCCTGAAGAAGGAAATTTCACAGAGGAGGAAAAGGTGATCTGTGCAAACAACTTGTTCAATTCAATTGTGAAGATATAACACTATAGCATGGAAGGGGCAAATGATGCATGGAACTAGGAATTACAAATCATTTGCTTCCAAGTTTTAGTTATATAGTACTGTACTTAATTGTTCAGTACACTATACATTTATCTTGAGTATACTGGTAGGTACTGATGACCATTTACCCACTTGCAAGAACTTTTTTTCATTTTAATTCCCTTGAGCAGCACTGAATTTCAGTGGATTGAGACAAATGCTGTAGTCAAACATTTCTTCTGCAAATATTCACACATGCAGACCCCTGCACTTCCAACAGACATTCTACTCATGTTTCAAAGGATTACTGTGCAGACCAAAACATGGCACAATTTTTTTAGATTTCCAGAGAAAGTGGTACCATGAGACTGTCAAACTGTCTATGGACAAAGCTGGCAGAAAATTGGCTTTCTATCACATTACAAAATATATAACAACTTGAGGAAAAATAACACTAAAACAATTGCAAAATTAATCTTCCTAACATTATGCTTGAGCTTTATGCAGGAATTTTATTTTGGCGCAACTTACTACCATTGTCCAAATTAATCTAATCGCAAGTAATGGCAATTAGTCCACTTTCAACAAATTGTTTCTACCTGGTTTATTACATCAGATTCAAGATGTGACATTTTTGGTTTAATTCATATCAGCAAGACAACATGTAATGCAGCAACAAATAATCACAGAAGTCACCATCACAGCAAATAATGAATGAGAATAGAGATACAAATTGTTTATTTTTCAAATAGGCCATCAACAAACAACACCATAGCAGGCAATTACAGCTGAAAAGATGGTATGAAAAGATACCATGAATAATGAAATACACAAAAACAATAAAGATTTCTCAACATAACACATACATACAGCATTTATCAACACATGAATGCACAAGTAATTATCTCAATCCATTTCAATGCACTTGGAAACTGCAATCACAACCTCCACATTTGCTTCCATTGAACCAATGTATACTTGGGTTCTTGCTGATTCATGCCAGATTAAGATACATTGGTATATGGGTTTGAGTATACCTTTCAAATTCACAACTCAAGAAAAGATATGCCAAGATTCTCTCCTGGAATGTGAAACAGGTAAATTGCTATTGATGAACATGGCATAGGTGATGGGCAGTAGGAGGTAGGGAAGTGCTGGCAATTGTTCCCAGTCTTACTGCTGCTATAATATTGGTGCATTGCATAAAGGTAATGACAAGAGAAGCACTAGGTTGACATACTCAAGTTGAAGGAAAGTGATGAGAAACCAAAGTAGTGGAAAGAAGAAATAAGTTCTCCCAAGTCAGAACATGTTCAGAATGAGAAGCAAATAGTGGGAAAAATGTGGCCAAAAGATTTTTCATGATCCATTGGCAATAAACAAGTGCATTATGCAATTGAACAGCTTAATAAGAGCTCCCAGAGGAAAGCAGCACCATAGAGCAGAGTCTGACAATTTTCAGATCAAGAAAATAGTCCTCATGTAAGCTTGGATTAATCAAGGGTTTGATTCCTCATCAACATCTGCTTACTTCAAAACTGGATTTTCATGCAAATTTCACTGATCATGCAAGTGACAGATTTGCTTCAATACACTGAGAGTAAATGATTCTTGAGGGTGCACTGAATTGAATTCATCTGCAGTCATCACTCCACAATACTGAAAGGTTGAAAACACACATCAGCAGTGAATGTTCAACAGGTGCCACATGCCTTACAGATAACTGCCTCAAATTGTTTGAAGGCACTTGGATGTTTCACCTAAAGGAAAAAGTTTTCAAATATAATACAGAAGAACAATCACAAAAATACAAACCCCATTCACTGTTATTGTAGGTATAAATGATAATTTTGGTGAAAAACTCTGGGTCTTGTTTCCCATTCTGACCAACCAAGTATCTCCAATCCAATTGTCCAAGCAGGTCTGAACAGGCCTCCAAACAAGGTTGTATTTCTTGAAGCACTTCAATTTGAAAGAAAATAAAAAGGTATTGTCAAAAAGTGAAAAAAAGCACTCACAGCTGGTCCAGATTTTGGTGGAAATGATGAAAGCATCATACAAATCATGAGCTTTGTTTGAAGATCTTGATCTCCTTGAAGACTAGCAAGGGTACAAGCCATAAGCTTGTTGCCCAGACACTCAGATGGTCCATGCTGGCACACAAAATTCACTTTATTTCCGTTTGTCTGGAACTACAATCCAATTGTCACTGATCAAACTCGCCTCACAACATTCTCATACTTACAGAGGCCTTTCCAAACGGCACATAGTCAATATCTGCACAGTGCTTGATTTTTTCATACGCTGGTTTCAACTGCTTGGCAAAGAAATAAACGGAATCCTTGCAAAGGGATTCATAGTAGATTCCAACTTTGACTTGGGTTCTCTGATGGTGAAATATACACGCATTAAACGTCCAATGAAATTCTCGAAGAAACACGTTATCCAGAACCATGGATTTTGGATAACCATTTAAAAATGACTTAACACATATGTCTGGAGCACAATGGGGATCAAGGTACACAACATAAATGTAAATACGAAGTATGATTGCATTGAAGACTTTTTCTATAGCGTTTCAAAAGGAGTAGATGACATTGGTCCAAGTTTATTTTAGGGTCTTCTGTACACCTGAAAAATATTGTTTCAATAAATAAATAAGTACATGCAGCATTATAGATGGGGTTAAAATATCCTAGCCCACCTTTGATTCAAAAAGCCATTCACCTGAGCTACAGAAGCACAGCATAACGTGACAAAAAAGGTATTGTGAAGTAGTATGAACACGAAGGTCGAAGTACTGGAGGAGAGACATGCAACCTTCATGATGTTCTGAGACCATCATTTCTTCAATGCACACGGATTAAGCGAGATTAATTACATTCTGCCAATGTAAATTCCTTCTGTGCGTTGAAACAGCGGGAAACAAACGGAAGGATGTTTATAAAAAAAATTAAAGCAAAGAAAACAATATGTTGAACCATCAACGTCCAGTAAAACAGGATTAGATGCTTCAACATGAAAACAGATCATCATCTAAGACTAGAAACACTGCAAGACCGATTTCCAATTTTTCAGTAAACTGCACGACGGAAAAGGTTGGATTAAAATGCACGTTCTTTTGCGGTTTGATGGGTTTTGGCAAGAGAAATAAATTAGCTGGAAAAAACTGGCCAATCAACCCGGAGTTCTCCTGCAGCGCTCTGAAGATTTAGGCAGGCGTTGTTTAATGAGTTTTACTAATTGGGCACTTACTTGTCAAGTTCGAAAGGGTGCAAAATACTGTAATAACATTCTACTGCTTCATTGTCACGCGGAGTTATATCTCAAGTACTTCTACAGTACTTACAATACGATGTAAGTACAGCACTGTAGTTTTTCGAGTATAAATACAAAATTTCGGTACGCCATGCAACTAAGTTTCTGAATTTTGTTGTTTTGGTGTTCCAAACGATTTTCAAACATGGTCGCAGATATCCATGATAAGGGCAGGTGGAGCCCTCGTTAATCCGCGGAGTAAAAGTTGAAAAACGTCCGTTTCAGAGAGAAAGCGTGAAATGTTTAAAAATCGCAGCGGTTGGAAATTTCAGGAAAAGCTAGTGATTTTTCGAGATACGACTGATGCATTTCAACACGCGTCCGATACTTCAACTCTCGCAGGGCGACCAGCACATTCACACCACGAATTGCACTCGCATCAATCAACGCTTCTTCCACGTCCACTTTTTTCTGGCTCCGTCATGACCAGGTCGTTTCCGCTCCCTGTACCTCATATCTTCCGTCAGGAGACCAGCTAAGTGACCCCGCATCAAAAACAAAATTCACTATTGGCGATTTCCCCCGATACGTGGGATGGATGTAAAGTTTTTTCACTCACCGAGTCGCATTCGTTTCCGCATGTCTTCGTCAACCAGGCCAGTCAGGGCCCTGGACATGGCTAGGCGCATGGCTCCGGCTCGGGCAGAGTACCCCAAATTCCACTTGATTTCATCTCCCTTGCACACGGGAGGTATGTAAAACCCCGGGAGAATTACGCGGTAGCCGCCCTCAACCTGTGGTGTACCGATTCCAGCTTTATTACTCAACGAAGCCTGATTCAACACGTGGAACGTGAATTGAAACAACGGGCTTTTAGACTGATTCCAGAAATGAGTAGATGAGTAGGTCATCAAAGGTTGTCCTAGTTCCGCACGCTTTAGAAATCCCGAACAGCGAGACACGATAAAATTATAATGTACACTTTAAGGCATCATGGTTGTCAGAGAACTTCAGGTTTTCAATTTCCCGCGATGTCCCTCAGACCCGTTACCGCTGGCGGCGACAAAGGCTTCAGACCTTTCCCAGTGCCCTCATCCAATTCTCAACTATTTTTGACGAATGGTCAGTCATCAAGATTCATAGGTGGAACAATTCAATTTATATCTTTCTACATTTTTTTCTTTCAAAAGTATGTGGCATTGAGGCAAGGAAGGTGTACCTTGTTGACAAGAAAAAAACCTTCCCGCAACTTTACGAATCGTTCGAAGGCGCGCGGAACAAGGACAACACTTAACGTGCTTTTCACTGGAATGGAACCAAGGTGAAATCACCAACCCATGTTGGTTTCATTGAAGCCCTGTAGAGAGTTTCCGAATTTTGCCCAACATCATTTGCTACCAAGTACATCAATATTGATGAATTGAGTCATGCAATCATCAGATTCGTTCTTCGTAAAATTGCTCCTGAAATAGGATTGTGACCATGGCAACCTGGAGAACCAATTTACAGCTTGAAAGGCATATCAAATAAATTATCACAATTTTGTCAGACTTGGACACTCAGGAGAATCCACGAAAACCTGATGTGAAATGCAATACTGTACGAGTACTGGATCTATCTGCGTTGAAAAAAAAATTCTCTGCATTAATATCACATGGAATAGACGAATTATGGAGAAAATGCCACATTAATTCAAAATTTTCTTACCTATGTTCAAGACACGCACCATGAACTTCAAAACGTGAGAAAAACGGAGAGGGGGGGGGGGGGATCACCCTTCAATCCCATCATAATTTGGGTTTGATGAACATCCTTTTTCTCAGCAAATTAAGGAAAAAGATGAGCATGGCAAAGAGCAAATACTATGTGCACTGAACTTTCCATGCACTTTGATCAAGTCAAGAGGAGGTGCGACACAAAAACAGTTTCCTATGTTTACCCGATTTCAGCACCACAATATCCGGCATGAATCAGGAACAAATACTTCCACTACTGAGATAGTATAAATTGAAAAAAAAAAGTTCCTCGTTTTTTTTCACGGCTTCTAGTATTGTACTCTTTTCAAACTTTTCAGGCATTCTTGAGTGAAAACCTTCAAGTGAAGACTAAAGTTTCATTCATTCGACACTGTTTTGAAAATTTTTCTGGACAGTTAAGAATTTGAAATTATTTTATATTTTAAACGAAATATTTGTTACATCTTGTAAAATTTTCAGAAATTCCGAGTGATCCTCACCACCTTGTCTTTCTCACAGTTGTCTGACTATATTTTCGGTCATTGCATCACCCCGTGCTATTACCTTGACTAAGAAAATAATTAAAAAATCATAAGTTGTATACAACTTCGACCTGATTAAAATACTGTAATAATTAAGACAGAAAAATATCTTGTTTCAGAGAAAACGGAAATGAACCCCTTGCCAAAGCAACGATCAAAAGGTGTTGATAAACTTGTTTTCATATTTTATTTTAAGAAAATTATCATTCAAAATTTGTAGATGTACGAAAGATTATACCTGAATTAAAAATGCACTGGAACATCCCTTTTTGTTGCAATAAAACCAGGATTTCCCACCCTTCAAGTTTCAAACTTGAATGAATAGTGATGAGACGCGATTTTCATGAGACTCGGATTGAAGCAATCGCAGAGATCTGCATTAAAAAATAAACGGTGCCCCCCGTCCCCCAGCTTAAAAAAAGCTGTTCTTTCCCGGGTAATTCTAAGAATCACTTCCATTTCTTTCAAATGGTTTCTTCTAATTTTGGCCAAATTTTTTGAGCGTTAGTCCCCCAGCTTCCTGGAATAGTCACGGTTCTGAGGGTTTAGGGGCAATTAAATCTCCCCGCATTTCTAAACCGGGTTATACCCGATAAAATCAAAACTACGCAACAGGTGAGCAGTACTATACACAAATCTGATGAAGTGAATCGATTCGTCATACATAATTTGTTCTTCAATGCTTCGTGTAAAGGTGATTTCCCCCTGCAACATAATATTCAAGAACAAAAGAAAGGAAGAACCGTCTTCAACCACAAAGTTTGTAAGACTTGAATATACTTTCCTGTCCCGAAAAAAAGGAATAAAAAAACGTCGGGCCTAATCTTTGAAAAAAAAAAAAAGAAAAAGATAATGAATAGATAATGAACTTACCTCACAGTGAACGTCGACCTGGCCAAGCAACCCGGTGAGCAACAACGGAAAGCTCACCACTTCTCTTTCCTGCACAGTTTTCATCACATCCGGCAAATACTCGTGTCCGTTGACAGAGAACACTCCGGTTCCGGCAGCGTAAATTTTCACGCGCGCATATGCCCACTTCCGCTTGGCTTCTCCTCTACAAAACTTCCGCCCATCCTCGTCGAATTCTTCCTTGGCGACTTCCTGCAAAGTGACGTCGACAAACATCGGCTGACGCCAGGATTCGATAAACGGCTTGAAAGTGTGAGCGAATGGATGAGCCAACAGACGGTCCAGGGCACCCGTGAGATGAGCATACCGCTTGTCGTCTATTGCTTCAAGCAGCCGGGCTTCCACTGCCGGCTTCCGGAGCCATTGAGTGCCTTTGACGGTGATCTTGTCTTCGTCTTTGATCACGACTGGACCCCCGGTTCCAGGCGGACCTGACCTACGTGCTTTCCTGCGATAAAGGAGTAAATTCGAGCGAGATGTTCGATTAATCGATTTTTACTTCAACGCCGGACCTCGTTTCCTGGAATGTCAGGTCGTTGCCACCAGAATAACAATCCTTCCGCAAAAAATCCCGTTCAAATAAATATTAATTACGTTTTCCTAGGAGAAAAAAAAAATGTTATCAACTAATGATTTTAAAAAGCAGTTAATTTTTTCCGGATATTTAGCTTTCCACGAAAGAAACTGAATCAGGGCGTTTCATAATTTGGTGGCTTCAAGATTTCGCGCAAGGGAACAGTAATACCGACGCTAATTAAAATTCAAAAATGTTTTTCGTACGGAAATTCTTACCTAAACGCAGCGCTTTGCAAAGAGTCGCATTCCTCCAAATAACGGCAAATATCATGCATGACACCGTAAAAGTTGGGCAACTGAGTGTAGAATAACGTGTGGTGTGGCCGACCAGACTCATCAAACTCAGCTGCTTTCCGTTTCGGGAACACCTAGAACATCCATGCGAAAGCAATTAGGACGGGATGGCCAACAAAAAAAAATTTCACCAGCTGAAGACTTTACCATAATTTTTAAAAATTAAATATTTTACGCAGAAGTTTATGCATCTTTCGGAACGAAAGAAAGATAACGACGAATCTTCAAAAAATAACAGAATAACACATCGCTTCGGAGTCAAGTTCGGGAATTTTTAAATCCACCACAGTTGTTGTTCAAGATGAGAAAATTATTCTCTCACAACGAAGAAATTCGAAGAAAAAGCGTCAATTTAATGCTGCTTTTTGTTGGATGACTTGGAAACTTCTCGATGTAAGAGGTGCACTTTCATGCGCTGAAGTGCCCAGTTGAAGCTGCCGAATGAAAAGAAAGAAATATTCAAATTCATCAGGACGCAAACTTACAATTTCCGGATCTCTCATGAAAGGCCGAGCCTTCGGCTCAAATAATCCAGAAGGAAAAAGGTAGCTAACGGCGGCATCCATATCTTCCTGCGTCATAGAACTCTCCTCAAGGCCCATCATATTCGCTAAATGTCGTCGTCCGATCTGAAACGCTTTCTTCTCCTCCGCCATAAAAAGCTCATGCTCACGAGCACGTTCCAAATAGGCCTTCATTGCTTTCGACATTGGTTTCTTGCCCGTTTCTTCATTTTCCTGGATCTCAGGGGGTAACCGATCTTTTTTCTCGACCGGGATCACTGCGGCTTCACTGCGGTGGGATGTAGAGCTCAGAAGTCTTACCTAAAATATAAAAGGTTGACGTTCGTTGATTTTTCAAAAATTTAGAAAACAAAAAAGTATCACCTGGCATGAGTAAGACAGTGACGCAGTATGACTTCCAGCAGCTAAAAATTCGGCGAAGAGTTTCAACCGACCGCACAAAGCCATTCGAACACTCAAGTCGGAATTTTTTGCATAACTTTTGCTCTGAAAATTCGGGCAACAATGGCGCATTGTTTTTTTTTTTTCGGGTGCAAAAATCGACCACTGGGAATACTGTACAAAAAAATCTCCACTCGAATAATTCTCAACAGTATCGCATAAAAAATTCAGAAAATCACTGATCTTCCAAGGCGTGGGTAATATTTTCCTGCCGGGGGAACAACAGCCATCAGACGGGTGTGAGCGTTTTGAGCAATTCACGCCCACATTTCAGACCTTCGGTAAAAAATTTGCAATGAATGAGTGCCTCGATTATTCCAACGGTAATTTATAACTCACCGTCTTCGTAACCTCGCTTAAGAAGTCCATCCAAAGAATGGACTCCAGTCGGCATAGTAGGGAACGGAACCTTTTTCACTTTGGCTTTTGCGGGCTAAAATATAAATTACGTATAAATATCAGTGATACAGTAAGACAATTTTCAGAAATGGTCGGACACTTTCGAAGGGAATAACAAACCGAGTAACAATTCACAAAAGATTATTCTGAGAAAAATTAAGAAATTATTGAGTAATGTTGATGCCTTACGAAAATTACCGTTTGTTTGCGATTCCTTCTGCTTTCCGGTTTTATATGTCCAGTATCGGAGTCTTCCACCTCGGTTACCGAGGTCTGCCGGAAAATAACGAAGCAAATTTACACCCGAAGATTCCCATTTCTTCAAATCTGAATTCGCAATAGATTCTCTCACAATATTCAGCCCAGAAAAAAGATAATTTTCATCTTTAAAATTCAGCACTTGACCAACCTCGGTTTCCTTCGGAATATATCCGGCATCTTCGAAGGCTTTCCTGGCGGTTTCAACTACTTCGTTGCAAGAATTTCCCACACTTTCCTGACTCAGGGCAGCGTAAGCGTCGATAAACAAGTTATCCCAGATTCTCTCTGTGAGAATCTCAGGATCACAAAGCGCGCTTCCAGCCATGTTGTTTTTCTTCACATTTTTTTCTCCTTCTTTCCGAACCACCAGAAAGACAATGTGAGGAATAAATTCGTGTTTCCGGTATCAAACGAGAGGAAATCAAATGGAGAAAGCAATCGATTTCGAAAACACAATCGTACTTTGATTCTGAGCTGATTTATTGAATTGGGAAAGAATGCTGCAGCTGAGTATGAACAAAAATCTGAATCATTTGCGTCTCCCAATTCTTGCAGAACTAATAATCTTAATCGCTCAATAAGTTCAGTTTAGCCGGCCAACCATTAAAAAACACGCCCCTTCTTCAGCTTCTCTTCGGCGCTTCGACGTTAATTAAAAGATCGTCTGAAAATTGTACTCAGGCTTTCTTCACGAAGGTATCTTTTCGAGAGGTACTCAGGAATACGGTATTTCCATTCAGGGCGGTTTCCGAGAAATTTTGGAAGATGCCTCGTCAATTAAAAGAGGTGCGATCACGAGGTCTACTAGGCACATCTGAATTTCAAAAGTTGGCTTCGCTTCAAGAATATTCCCAAAATCGGAACGCTCAGAACCCAAGTGCGAAAGAACTTCGTTAATAAAAAACGACCACCAACTTACATAAACACAATCAACAATTCTTTCTGACAATCAATAAAAACGCAGGGACATGCTGCAAGACCGAAAAAAAAAATTCCAACCACAGTTTCCAAGATAAATTAACGGATGTACACGTGCCACTGCATGGAACGTAAATTAAATTCACTTCTCTCCTTGCTGCTGCAACTGCTGCATTTGATGGAGATGCTGCAATAGAAGTTGCTGGGGATTAGGCTGCGTACGCTTCCGTTTCCGGGCGCGCTCTTCGTCGGTCATGGCTGCAGCCTTACGACGAGCGGCTCGACGGCCACCCGGCTGTCCTCCCGCGCTTCTCGACACTTCCTCGTGGGCTTCTCGCTCAATCAATGTGATAAGCGTGTTGCAACGGCGCTGAATTTCATTCGTATTCCTTGATTTTAGGTACCAGTCAAACCGGAATGCAGGCTCATCCCTAACAATACAAATACAAAATATTTACGCATTTCGCTAAATATTCTGAAATTTTGATGGAAGAATCTTACTGCGCAGCGCAAAAAAAAAAGGTCAACGCGAAGGTCATGAAAATTTGAAGCTTTACACATGGGGTGATTCCCAGGCCACCAGAAAAATCGAGGATTTTGAGGAATTTATACGTCCCAAAAAATCGACGTAAAAACCATTATCTTTCCATCAAACTGAAACATTACGAACGCGGCGAACTGTAAGAGAAAGCTAAAAATTATACCAACCTGATAGATAAACGCAAAAGCTCATAAATATTATCGGCGTCAAACCCAAGTTTGTGGAGCATGTAAACAAGGTATCTGTCTTCTTCCTCTGTGTAATTTTTGCCTTTGTTCGTGCCGTACTGGATTCTGATTTGATGGAACGGCGATCGATATTGTTTTACTTTGGCGTCCAGAGCTTTGCGAATCATTTGTTTCTTTTGCAACTTGTTCTCTCCTTTCTCGATCTGCGTCAGAATTTTGTCGGCGTCCTGCAATTCCTTGATGCGATCCCAGAAAACGTAGAAATATTCTTCCACTTCTTCCTTTGTTTTTCCTTCAACTTCTTTGCAGATGGAATCAAGATTATCACGACCGAGTCGCTCATTCGCTTTCACGAACTGCATGAAATCTCGACGAGACCAGTTGGAAAACCCAAGGGTCATGAGATCTTCTTTTTCCAATACTTCCTCTTCAGTTAAAGGAACAGCAGTGTCAATTTTTGCTTGCTCTTCTGCTTGAATAGTGTGCGCTTCTGCGCCGAGATCCGGGTTGAATGGAACTCTGTACTTCAGCGTCTTGCGGAAGTACAAAGTTTCTTTTTCAACTAAAGCCACCAGACGGGCCGGGAAAAACTGGAAGTCCTACGAAATAAACACACTTTCGTGAAGTCCTTATCTTTAGCCTGGTCTACGTTTGATAAATACAATTTTGAGGGCTAAATTCCATTTTCCTTCAAGTGTCAGAGGGGTTTCAGTATGTTGTTAAAGCAGACGAATTTTAATCGAAAGAAACCTAAGATTCTCCAGAAAATGTAACGTAAGCCTTTAAAACTGAATTGGCAGAGAATATTAATACCCTTTTTGGAGCTCAGTGAACCAGGTTGAACTTTATGATCGATAGCGTGTTACGATCAATTACTTTTGGTATGTAATACAACGATACGACGCTCAGAAACATTTATTTCAATAACCACGCAATAATTACCTGAACGTTGTTATGTCTCGGCATTCTCGGGGCTTTCGGAAGCTTTGGTTCAGACGGAGGCGCAGTATTAACGCGTAAAGCTTCTCGGAAGTAGGCGTCAACAGCATAATTCGCCTTGCGTTCACGCTTTGGAGGCTCAATCCAATGTCCGATCAGGCTTTTTTGCTTTTCCCTAGAACAAACCCCTGTTTCAAATTTCCCAATTTCAACGGGGGCTTTACAAAACGTACCTGTAATCTTCTCCTTCAAATTGATACACACTGTCGCTGGTTGCAGCGGCGTCAAACGTGAGATTTCTCAAAGTCTCTTCGGGGAGTTTGGCCAATTTCTCAGCCAATTCCTGGGTTTTGGTTTCGCTTCTTTCAAGGATCTTGTCAATGTCTTCATCAGTAAGTAATTCGCTGTCTTTCGACGCAAATATGTGATCTGCGCCGTGACGAATCATGCTAAGCATTTCTTCTTTGCCCAAAGTGTTCATATTTTTGTTGCTAGGTTGGTCGTTCGACTGGATTCTGCCTTGCTGAATGACGAGGCGATCTAATCGCAGCTTTATCTCAGCACGTTCCACGATTCGCTCCTCGATCGTGTTTTCAGTTATGAACCGGAAAACTCGTACTTGCTTTTTTTGCCCAATCCGGTGAGCTCGATCCTATTAAATAAATTATTTTCAGTTCACGGGTTTAAGGGATATTTTCCCAACTTATGTTGAGATATGTTCCAAATAATCCTTACTAAGGGGGCCACCCGTATCAGTTAATTCTTCTGCTGAATTCAAAATCACCCGAAAACTTTATTTGTGGAAAATTTCAAACCATGATCCACTCAACATCGGCATAAAGCGTGTCTTGTAACAAAACTGAAGGTTTGGGGAAGTTACACGAGGGATTAAATTTGATTGTTACTTTCCGCAATAGTTTTCAATGTACTGTATATTCGAGTTTTAACTCAGGTAGCATCATTAGGCGAAAAAATGCTCACCATAGCTTGTAAATCTGCTTGAGGATTCCAATCAGAGTCAAACAAAATTACGACATCCGCAGTCGCAAGATTGATGCCCAGTCCTCCAGCCCTGGTTGACAACATAAAAAGGAATTTTGTGCTATCGTCAGCATTGAACTCGTTAATTTGTCGCTCTCTGTCTTCGTGAGGCGTTTGTCCGTCCAGTCGGCAGTAATGAAACTGCTTCCACAAACAATAGTCTTCAAGGATGTCCAACATCCTCGTCATCTGCATATAGTCAGAATACATAACTTGATCGTGGAGTTGAAGATAATATGCAGGTCATTTCCTTTGCTCCTGGGCTTACAAAAATGTGTGAATTTCAACGAGTTGTGAACACGGAAATCTAAAAATTTTCAAGGGAGAGTGAAAGCATCACAAGAGCAGAGAAATATTAGATCTTCATCTAAAACCTTTGGACACGACGATCATTTTTTCTCAGTGAAAATTTAATCTCTTATAATGAACGATTGGTGTATGGTGTTTCAAGGAAAAAAGGGAAAATTTCACTGCGGCATGTGCTGTGAAAATGCCAAGGCTAAAAAAAAAAAACGAAGTGAAATGCCTCACGGAATATTTTAGTCTGTTTCCCCCAACAAACTTCCGTCAACAAAAATTTCGGAACTGAACGCTTAGCAGCGAGTGAATAAGCCAAGAGAAGTTTACCTGGCTCACGTTCAAAAACTTCCGAGTTGTTCGCGGATGAGTTATACAAAATTTGGTTTTGTTACAAGTTGGCATAATCGGGTTTTAAAAATTGCCGTCAATCTGAAGTTATTTAAAATCTATTTAAAATAAAATACTAAATAAATCCCTTTAATATTTTGCAGAGAAGTTCTGCAAAATACCGGGAGAACATTTGCTGAAAAATAATTACCTGAGAAAATATCAATACACGGCTGCCTTGATCTTTCAACTTCGGCAGCAGTTTGTCCAGCAAGAATAATTTCCCAGAATTATCAACCAAATGCTGATCAGTAGTAAAAGGCGGCCCAGGCTCTGCTCCGTCAAACAAATACGGATGATTCGAGCATTTTCGAAGCTGCATCAAGATGTTCTGCAGTCGCATCTTGTCCATCTTTCCGGCACCGTTCACGACATCAATATCTTTCAACAGGATTTTCGTGTACCATTCTCGCTGCATTTTGGAGAGTCCCACGTAAACTTTCAGCTCCTTCTTTGGCAGTAGTTTCTTTTCCACGTCCGACTTCAAACGACGAAGCACGAATGGTCTCAGAACTGCATGCAAACGCTCAACAAGAGTGTTGTTTTCCAGACAACTATCCGTGTTGAACCACTCGTCGAAGTCCTGGAAGAATTCAAAACATATTAGAAAGATAATAGGTTAAAAATAAAAATTTAAACATAAAATAACAAAATACAGAAAGTTATTTGTAACCAACCTCTGACGAATTGAAAACATGCGGTAACAAAAAGTTCAGCAAGGCCCAAAGTTCGTGCAAATTGTTCTGCAACGGTGTCCCGGTGATAAGGAGTCGATTTTGAGTATTGAATTCTCGAACAATATCACTAAGTTTTGACTTCTCGTTTTTGATCCTGTGGGCTTCGTCAATGACCATGTACTTCCACGCAATTTTCTTGAGTACGCTCTTCTCGCGGATCACCATTTCATATGATGTGACGCACACATCCCAAGTTCCATGATGGGACAGAGTTTCTTTGATAACTCGATTCTAGAGAGTGAAGTTCACGAGGGAAATGAAATTTATATCCAAAGATGATGATGCTGTACATGCAACGAATTAGTAACAATCATGGCCCCATTTCACTCAAGCATGCAGAAGAACAAAGTAAGATCTCATGAACAAACGGTAAAGATCAGCCTTGAGATTGGATTCGTTATTTTCAATTAGCATTGCGAGATATTATTCGAAAAAAAAAAGTTAACCTAAAATGAACGGCATTCACGAAAACGACTAACAATAATGATTGTTACTCGTGATTCACTTTAGTTTCAAGAGTCACTTTGAAAATCTCCAGATCTCCTCCATGAGAATTCGTTCAAACAAAAAAAAAAAACGATTGGAAAAAAATCCAGAAAATTTTCTAAAAAAAAAAACAACACAACATATTTTTTCGAAGAATAATTTGATAAAGGTAATAAAAAATTATCCCGTGGAATAGTATGGCTGAAAAATCATAACATGAATGCACTTACCCTTGTTTCTTGATCACCGAGTAAACAGACAGCTCTCAGCGTAGGGACCCATCGTTTGAACTCCGACATCCAATTTGCCACCGTCGATTTTGGCACAATAACAACATTGGGTTCCGGAAATGTTCTGAAGTGCTTCATGTATCCCAGCAATGAAATCGTTTGAAGCGTCTTCCCTAGTCCCATTTCGTCAGCAAGAATCCCGTTGATCCCGGATTCGTGCAATGCAATCATCCAATTCAGACCGCGAACTTGGTAATCCCGCATCGTCCCACCTTCGACGTAAAACGGAGACTCGTCAAACACCGTCACGAAGGATTTCGCGACGCATTCTTCATCTTCCTCCACATCGGCCAAAAGTTCTTCGTCTTCTTCTTCTTCGGTCATCCGATGTCTGTGACTGAATAAAAAAAAAGGAGGTACTGTACATACTGTATCCGTGAATTCCAAGTGAATACGGTAACCATGCATCAAGAAAGTCCTGTACTGTACTTCAACGTTACTCGAAGAATCGTTGAATTCTCAAGGAAAGGAATGAGGTTATTCTGAAAAAAGAACTCACTCCACAGCATCGTCGCCATGACCGCCTTTCCCTCCACGATTCGGTCCCATCATAAAGGTTGTAATACTTTCCGTCTGCTTCAGCAGTTCCTCGAATTTTTTGTTTTTCACCTCCTTTCGGGAAGAAATCCAAAACTAAAACGTTAAAAATACGAAGAAAACAAGAAATTGTCTAAAAAATGCAGATAATTCAATCGTTGGAATCCTGACGATACAGTTTTTTCCAATTCGATTCAGGAGCTTAACACGGCATGATAAAATACAATCCTGTAGCTAGCTTACTTGTGCTGATAATTGCGACGCTGCAGGATCTTCATCACCTTTATGACCACCTCCATCCTGTCAGTGAAATGGAAAATTGTCAATATGAAGAACTATAATGGTAATTTTAAAATTTTACCTTATTTTCGCCGGTTGATCCGGCCGATTCATTCGTATCCATCGTTGTAAATGGAGGAAATACTGCGGAAATTTCAATCAAATTTTCTTGAAATTAGATCCGAATATTGTACCGTGTTGTACCAATTTAAATAATACGCGAGGGTACGTCTTCGAAGAAACCTGCTCGCACCTCAAAACTGACTGACCAGAGGCTACACGACAACTCGCACAGCGACAGCTCAAATATTATTTTTCTTTGTTACTATTACATGTAAGCTCCGAAAATTTTCACTGCGTGACTTGCTGTGAAATCCTGATCAGATGCAGCGAAGATTGTTCCACAACTGCCTAGATAATGAAGTTTTTAACTCGCCAAACAAGAAACAAAGGTCTTTTTTTCCGCGCCGATTTGGTCAAAGAATTGCAAAAGCGCATTACAATATGACATAAAATTTACGACGCAAATTGGACGAATAATTCTAGCTGTAAAACGTTTTGCCAAGGATGACCTTCTAATTATCGCGAGGAATACCACAGGTCATTCCAAAAGCGTGAAACACAAAATCTGAAAAGTAAAACACAAAAATTAGGCAATTTGAAAAGTGCAGCGCTAAAATTCAATAAAAAGAGGGAAATAAAAAGAGGCTGAAGACACAAGGAAAACGTTCCAAGCCTTGTCAGCAATCAGTGGACGATCATAAATCAATCAAGCATCGCAACATTTTCATCCCTTTCTTCGAGCCCGAAGAATAAACGATGCAACGTTTTTTCGTCGACATTCTGTCAAAATAAATACTTTTTCGGAATCCCGAGAATTACGCGCTGAAATTCAAGAGGTTGATTGCGAAGCACTCATGCTGACCAAAAAACACGTCTTGAGACTCCACCACCTACAAAATACGAAGCAGTCTAACAGGGGTGACTTTATAAATCACAGTGATCTCAAACGGCTTCACAACACACCTAAATGCAAAGGGAAAGCAAGAAAACAGTTTCTTTTTTCTTTTTTTTTACAAGAGGAGCAAGAATGTACAATGCTGATCAAATATTCCGACAGGGACAGTGGTCAAAATTTAAAAGCAGTTCTTCGGCCGAATTTTCACATAATAATTAAAAAAAAAAACTTACACGACGTATCGTACAATCTGGTGGCTAACCTATTAAACCATTCGGTAGTCAACAAGATCTTAAAGCTTCCATATGACGTTACTACGTATTGGAGAATACAAATCACTTATCCACTCTGCTGAAGGACTTCACGCACACTGGACCAGCCTTTCATCAAGGCTGCTTTGAGACAATGTCACCTTTTAATGGTTATCTTTCGAATTAATCGCGCCGACCGCCGGTGACGATCCTCTTCACTGGTGCCCGGTTCATGTCCGAGTCCGAGGAAACATGAGCAATTCCTCCCATTCGGATGACCGCTGGGTGCGTGCCGGCACCCGAAAATCCGCCAGCAGTCTGTGGATGCTGACCCGCTCGTATCGGTTTTGCTGTTTGAATAAAAGGAGAGGCAATCGTGAATACTATTCATGGATTGAATACAGGGTGTCCAGAAAGTCACGACGACACAGCGAGAACTTCGTAATCCATCAGTTGAACCTCGATAACTCGAACCTTTTCAGGTCGAATACCTCCCCATGTCGAATTTTTATCAAGTCCCTTGAAAACACTGCATTAAAAGCCTCTGTAACTCGAAGACTTTCCCGCTCAAACCTCTGTAACTCGAGTTTTCTCAGGCCTTTCAGCTATTATTTTAGTGAAACAGGAAAGAGAAAAGTAACTTGATATTCTTGAAATGAAGTGCAAGACTAATTGGGTAAATAAATCCTTGCCTCCAAGTTCAGCATCCTCTCAACTATTCTTAAACACAATTTAAGGCCTGGAATATCACCAAGTATACTTTCCTGTTTTTCTTCGTTCTTCACGCAGCCCAACTCGAATTTTAATGCTGGTACCTTGAAATTCGCTTTGAGAAGTTTGACTGCACAGTACTTTCCTGTTTTTCTGATTTCAACGAAAAATTGTTCTATTCGTGAGATATATCACTGGTAATGCCAATTGTTGTCAATTTTAAAACTGGCTCATTTCAAGTTCCAACAGCTCATCACTTCCTCCATTATGCGACTGAGCACGGGCGCTTATTGTATTCCAGCCAAATTTTCAACGAAACAAAAAAGATAATCTGCAGGCACTCTTTTGTACAATTTTTTTACTTAGCCAGAGCCACACTTGAAGCGGTCTGCGGTCAAATTTCAACAAAAAAAAAAAAAAAAAAAAAAAAAAACAGACGGGAAAAAC